ACTTCTCCCACTGGACCTACCTCTGATATTCCTATTCCTCCTCCTCCTCCACCTCATTCTCCTATAATTCCTCCTCCTCCTGTTCTCCAAAGGTGGTACCAAAGGCARAGATTCAGACATGGGCAGGTTGTTTCCACTCCTACAGAAGAGCCTCTTGCTCCTCCCATCATTACTGAGGTAACAGGTCAGCCTTCTTCTGACCCATCTACAGCTTTCCCAGACCTTGATCTTCCTATTGCTCTCCGCAAGGGCAAGTGGAAGTGTACAACCCATTGTATCTCCAAACAACTGTCTTACAACCTTCTCTCTCCTTCCTACTACTCTTTTCTTGCTTCTGTTTCTTCCCATGTGATACCTAGGTTCGTAAGATGATCCCAGTCAGGGTTTTGTTATCTCTAGCCGCTACTTTTGACTGGCCCTTACACCAATTTGATGTTAAAAATGCCTTCTTGAATGGAGACCTACATGAAGAGGTCTATATGTCTTTGCCTCCAGGGGCAGTTTGATGTTAAAAATGCCTTCTTGAATGGAGACCTRCATGAAGAGGTCTATATGTCTTTGCCTCCAGGGGTGTATGGGAAGGAAATGCAAGGCAATGTGTGTAAACTGCAGAAATCTATTTATGGTCTCAAACAGTCTCCTCGGGCTTGGTTTGAGAGGTTTAGGCTGCTCTTGTCTCCTTTGGCTACACACAAACTCAATCTGATCATACTCTGTTCTTGAAGAGAAATGGCTCTTTGGTGACTTTCTTGATAGTTTATGTTGATGATATTGTGGTCACGGGTAATGACACTCAAGAGGTCAGTAAACTAAAAAGATTTTTCAACTCTGAATTTGAGATCAAGGATTTGGGAGATCTTCAGTATTTTTTGGGTATTGAAGTTGCTAGATCTAAGGATGGTATCTTCATTTCTCAACATAAATATGTCCTTGACCTCCTTGCTGAGACTGGTAAACTTGGAGCTAAACCAATCTCCACTTCTATTGATCCTAATCATAAGCTTTCTGCTACAGATGGTGAGCTTTTATCTGATAGGGGGGTGTTTCAGAGACTGCTTGGGAAGTTGTTATATCTTTGCATGACTCGGCCATATATTTCCTATGCAATAAGTGTTATTAGTCAATTTATGCATTCTCCCAGAGATACTCATTTAGCTACTACAGAAAGGGTTCTGTGTTACT